AAAAAAAAACGCCTTAGGGTGAGAAACACATGTTGGGTTTTAAGATTAATATGATTTTGGATCCTTCATTCGCACACGTTGGGTTCTTTTTCCCGGAGGGTTTTGAAGTAATGAAAACGAGCATTGATCATTGCAGAAGACTTACTTAATCATATATTATTTCATCGCAATAGGTCTCAAAATTTGAACTGAGCCGATTCAAAAGGGTATTAATATATTAATTAAATTCGGTATACAATGGATTTTCAACAGCAAAAGGTCTCTTCTATGTTACTCAACGACATTGCTGGAGCAGGGGTGCTGGTCGATGTCCTGATCAAATGTGTGCACACTCTCGCAATACAAAGGAAGCGTTGCGCTTCGGCTCTTGGCGTCATACAATCGCCAAACTGCTTTTGCACACACTCCACACCACAGTATTTTGCTCTTTTCAAAACTCTGAAAGAGCACACCACACCACTGCCCAATCCCTTAATTCCTCTAAATCACTCGGGAAGTTCTACGCCTTCCAAAACACCTTTTGAGTTCGCCAAGAAAATGTCAAATCCCTTTCACGGCACCACACCAACGTCAAACTAATGTATTCTCCTGACCACCAACGTTGAAATTCATTCGTTTAGCCGTGCAAGTCGGTGCATACTTTAAGCATTATTGGCTCCTCACTTGTCTGACAATCTATCAGAAGCGGTGTCCCAATTCTTCTCGGCCAGCACATCCTTCTTGAACTTCTGAAAACGAACCCTTAGTGGACACCTACCACCTCTCTGGGCTATCAGTATGGACTTTTAGCAAAAAACAAAACCCATTGAAAGCTTTTTTGAGCGAAGAAGCTGATCACGCTCATTTGACCTTATGAAGTTGCGAGCGCCGTAAAACACTTACAAACAAAAACAAAGAAGAAGAAGAAGCTGATAACAGATTCATGCACTTTCAGTGAAACAAAAAAATTATAATTTATATACACAGCCTAGCTGAACACCCCTCGAATAAATACGAAAAAACTGCAAAACGCGAGCTTTCGGGGCGCAGCACGAATACGAAGACACCGCTCGACATTTTACTAAAGACCAGGACAATTTATAAGAGGATACTTCGGCAAATCCTAAGAGCCTCACGCGACAATAAAGACCTGCTTCAATCTACAACAATCATCGCTACTCTTGATTGAAATCGGGGGAAATTGGTATTGTCGTTGACGTGTTCAGCCATTGTATCGTAAGTGCTTCTTTTTCTTCTGTTGGGGTTCTTTATTACATTTGTTTTTTCTCTTTTGTTGGATGGGATTTAATAGTTTTCGAATTGCTTTCGTTTCGTGTATTATTACGTGTATTGAGAACTGATAACATTTGTGTTTTCTCTCTGACTCTCTGTCCCTCTCTCTCTCTCTCTCTGTCTCTGTCTCTGTCTCTGTCTCTGTCTCTGTCTCTGTCTCTCTCTCTCTCTCTCTCTCTCTCTCTCTCACTCTGTACACACACACACACACACACACACACACACACATACACACACACACAAATATATATATATAAACTGTATAAATGCTATCCTCATACAGCATAAAAGCCAAGGCACAATGTGGACCATTAGCGCAGATCTTTGTCACCCACTATACCCTACAGCAGCCGGTACAAAGAGAATCCTTCAGACAAAGAGAGACAAATAGACAAAGACAGATACACGGCGAGGAGGACACATAAATAGAAAACAATGTTTCTGACACCCACCATCCCAAACACATTTAACAAAAACTACAAAAAATAATTCAAAGTCTACACACACAAAAAACGGTCTAGTGGGATCTGTATAAAGAAAAATAGACCGGTGCGTCACAAGGTAGACCGACGCCAAGATAATATCATCACGAAAAAGGACTACGGGCATCATCCAGCAAGAAAAAGCAATAGGAAAGCACTATTCCCAGTGACACTGGGGATAGGCCCAGAAGCTATTCCCAGTGACACTGAGAACAGACAGGCCCATTAAATATATTATAATTGTTCCCACACTGATCTACATGGGCATGATGGTGATGGGTTACTAAATACTAGACTAGATCTAATGTAGATCTAGATTCTAGATCTAACTAAACTAAAGTAGATTCTGGTGTGAGTGGAAGAATTTTTTTAAGAAAAGGGAATGATTATTCTATGCTTACTTGTTATTTTGTCGTAATTTAAATGTACGTGAAGATCTAGATCTACATAAACGGATTTTAGAGACCACGGTACAGGACAGGTAGAAATCCTTCCCGATTCTTCTTTCTTCTAGATCTAATCTAGATCTAGTTCTAGATCTAGATCTATTCTACGGTCAAGTCTAAGCCCTAAGTAAGAGAAGAGACCAAAAGTAGGCTGAACTTAAGTGAGAAGAGAGACTACAATGCAAAAACTTCTGATTTTTTAATGCAAACGAGTTTCGTTGTCACTGGGAATAGTTTCTGTACCTATCCCCAGTGTCACTGGGAATAGTCACTTCGGAAGCAATAACTGCTAGATAAAAGCCGTGTCCTGTAACAAAGCTGACAGAAAACAGAGTAACGGTGGACTGCATCATGATGTTCTTGCTGATCTCGTAGTCGTTCTCGTTGGTGCACTTGTTGTTACTGTCGTAGGGCTGTAACGCACTAGTATACAAAATGTTGGTGATTTCAAAAACGGAGCAGATCATGGCTTCCTGTCTAGGCTTTCTCAGATTCTGAGAAAGCCTAGCTTCCTGTCAAGACACCAAGCTGAGAGAAAATATTCCTGGAAAGACCCATTAAATTAAATTGTATGGACCCAACATGAGATCACACTCGAACCTTCACTTTCTCTCAAAGCTAGCCGACTTCGAGGCATGCTACACCACAGCTGTTGGAAAGTAAACCTGATTTTTTAAATTTTTTTTTTTTAGCTGAA